CCTAGGACCTCAAGGCACCATCCTCATCACTGAAATCCCTCAAGATTTCAGTGGTGAGGAGGCCCAAACACAATGGTCCTGGAGCTCAACCGAAATGGCACAAAACAAAGGCCAAACAAGCCTTAAGAGGGGTCAAACAACCCCAAAGCTTAAAACACCCTTAACAAACTATTTAGAGCACTCAAAAACAAGACTTTTCTATGTTATATGTTAAGCTCAAAAATAGTTGCAAATATGGCAAAACAAGCTATGAAAACAAGGCTTAAAAGAGGTAAAAGCTCACCTTTGAAGCACAGCAGCAAATCAGCAACTTTTGGACCAAGAAAAGGCTTCAAATCACCCCAAAAATCATCTTCAAGGACCTTAGCTCAATAAAGGGAGTAGAGAACTAGGTGTCTGTATGCAAAAGTGCAAAGAAAATGCACTTTTGAGCACAAACAAGCCCTAAACCTTAGAGAGAGAGGCAGAAAATGTAGAGAGAGAGAGATTTTTTTTGCTCCAAGTTCTATATCTCTTGTTCCTCTTGTTCCTCTTTTTTTTCTCTCTTGTGAGAGAGCTTGATTGATATAGATATGTATCAATCTGTAGCTCCTCAGAACACCCACGTCCAAGCATGGGTTAGGGTATGGCCTAGAATGACAGCTGCCAGCTATCTACAGAAATATCTGTTCAAAACCACATTTGGCCGGCCGGCCATCAAAGTGGTCGACCGGCAGTAAAATTGGCCGGCCGGCCATCACATTTGGCCGATTAAAAAACAAGGCGGCCGGTGGGCAGGAGACTTGGTCAACAGGCTCCCCCCCTTCCCTCAGGAACACATCCACAAGCTCTTGGTGCAAAACCAGACACAAAGCAAAGAAGTTAAGAGATTCTAAGGCAAGGCGCGCAGCCAAGACTTTCGAAACTCAAAACAAACACAAGTATGGATAATCTTCGCGTGTTCAAACGATGACGTCCAAGCCTTGAGGACGGTAAAAAATGAGGTGTCTACACAATCACATCCCACGATTCCAAAGTATTCAAACTTGGTAGCTCTAATACCAAGTTGTAATGCCCCAAAATAATAATGACAACCCATCTCATGATATTCAGTAGAAACACAACATGCGGAATAATAACCTTTCATTTGTATTCTTTTACGGTACAAAAGAGGACATATGCGAGTATACATTCATACATCCTTGATCCTGAATCTATAGCATATGTCATATATGAGTGAATTGAAATAAAAGATTATACAGACAAGTTAATGCCCTAATGGTTACATATTTCCAAGACAATGCTTGGGTACAACAAAAGTGAGTTCAACTCAATACAGTTAAAACCTTAGGTTGTACAAAAATAGTTAGAACAAGAAACAAAAATGAGCCTTCAGCTCCACAATTCTCCCAAGTTAAGTCCTTGATGGAGGCATATCATTAGCACCTGAAAGTTTTCCACATAGGGTGAGCTAAAGCCCAATAGAAATATTCAAACACAACGTATGAATCTTAACAAAATTATATAGTGAGTGCAATGCAATGCCATGCTATTTTTCCAAAACATGATGCTTTCTCTTTCAAAACAATGCCATGTTTTCAATAAGATGTGATTCCATTCAATGATGATACTTTTCCAATTAGAAACTGGGCAATGGATACCAAACATTGGGAATATGTTGGTACGTGTCTTCCAGCAGGCTATACAAGCACTATCAAAGTCATTTTACCAGTACTAACCAGAATGATCGGCACCTAACCGCATGAGTTTCTAGACTTTCACTAAGGACACACACCAACATAATAACCACAACCACACCCCCTAACCAGATTCACCAAGGTATACACCTATTTTTCTCAAAACAATACATTTTTAGTGTTTAAGTATGAAACAATGCTCAATACAAGATATATGAGTAATTGGTTTCAATTAACCTAATCCTCGTGCAATTTCTACAACAATGAAAGCTATTCTCCATGATAGCCCAAAACAGATATTTCTAATCAACAGACAATTTTCCAACAATAATTATAATCTCATAATTCTTTAAAATGGGAGTGATACATATATCCAACTCCACCTTCATTATCAACATCACATTCATTTCATCCTTTCAAAACCCAACAACATTCATTTTTCTTTCATAAATCAAACATTTATGATTTTCAAATCACACATTTTTCTTCCAAAATTGCTTTTAAAGAAGAGATTTCCAACCTTTCAACATAACTCAACAATAAACACATTCCCACAACCTTTCTCAAGGACCAATTTGAAAACCCCCCTTTTACATTTCAAAATCTAAACCCTAAAACCAAAATCCCCATTTCCCAAATCTCAATACTTAACAAGGAACACATAGCTAAGTTTAGTATCATACTAGAAGGTCGAAGAAATCCCTACCTTACGATTAGAAGAGGAAGACAACAAAGGTGAAACTATGACTGAGCCGAATATGAGATCCTTTCCGAATAGAATAAAGCTTTTGACAAGCTCTAGCTTTATCTCCAAGTAGTAATGGTGGAGAAATCAATGGATGATGGATTATTTGAGGTTTCAAGCAAGAACTAGAGAGAGAACGTGGAGAAATTAGGGTCTAGAAGGTATTAGAGAGAGTGGAAATGAAAAGGTGATTGAAAAACCCCTTTTCTCGAACTAATATACGTGCAAACCACTCGAGCGACCAAAACATCGGTCGAGTGTTAGAGATAATAAGTGAGACCGTTCAAGCAACCAAAACATTGATGGAACTGACAATGACCCATTCCTAGAAGTTTGCAAACTGAAGAAGACCGCTCGAGCGCAAGAAATACCGCTTGAGCGAAGATACCCTACTCCTAGAACTTTTGGAAACCTGAAAAATACTAGGAGATTTGATAAACCGCAGGAGCAACCAAAACATCGCTCGAGCGAACAAGTAGAAAACAGAACACCAACTCTTTTGAAAAACTAACTCCCAACCTATTTCAAACATGACCACCAATTCAACTCGACTACTCACAAGATGATAAAGGATATGAACAACAATTAAAGTACTGAATCTCATATCTAAGAGTATTAAATATGTCAGGTCTAAATAAGAACTGTTGTAAGAACATCTTTCACTCTGCTAGTATCATAGGAGGCAATGTGTGTCGTTTTTTCATGATTAAATCGATAGTTGTGATAATGTAATGTCTGAAGAAATAGTCCAAAAGTTGAGCCTAAAGACGAAGCAACGTCCTCATCGTTATAAACTAGCATGGTTGAAGAAAGATAACAAGGTAAAAGTGATTAAACAATGCATGGTTTTCTTTTTTATCGATCTGAAGTACAAGGATCAAGTTTGGTGTGATGTAATTGATATGGATGTGTGCACCATTTTTTGCTTGGAAGACCATGGCAATTTGATTATAGGTTAAAGTATGTATGAATGCACTAAAATTTCATGTTCAATAAATTAAGATTGTGGTGTCCTTGTCTAAGGAGATTGTACCTAAACTAAAAGTTAAGGAGGTATCCAATCTTTTGCTAGAAGTGTAGTTCGAAGAGGAAGTAGCAGTAACAAAGTTAATCTTCGTACTGGTGCAGATGTTCAGGAGAGGGTTGTGCCCAAACTCATCAAACCTTTGCTAAAGAGTTAAGTATTGTGTTTCTTGCAAAGCTTCTATATGGTTGTTGTTAAGGAATATCCAACACCAAAATTGACCTTGTTCTGATGACGAACCTACCTAACTGAACCCATTATTTAATGTGTTTGAAACAATATGAGGAGGTGAGAATGTAAGTCGAGAAGTTGTTGTTCAACAGTATCGTTAGGGCGACTATTAACCCTTATGACATGCTAGCATTGTTTAGTCCAAAGAAGGATGGGTCATGAAGGATGTAAGTAGATAGTAAAGTGATCAACATAATTTCATTTAAATATTATCTTTCAATTCCCAAATTGGATGATTTAGTTGTTCAATTGACGAATGGAAAAACATTCACCAAGTTGGATTTGAAAAATGAGTATCACCAAATTTGGATAAGGTCGGGTGACGAGTGGAAGATTCCTTTCAAGACTCGAGAATGTCTTTATGAGTGATTGGTCATGCCTTCTGGGTAATAATATATCTGTTATCTTCAGTGCTGGAGGGACTTAGGGCTTAGGGGGGGTCACGTGCCCCCCCTTACTTTTGAAAACTTTTTTTTTTTTTTTTTTGGGGTCTGCTTTCATATTGTGCAATAGTACCCCTCCTAATACTAATAAATAGCCCTTCCAAATATGTCAAACCCACTGACACACACGCACCCAGGTTTGGTTTATTTTTAGAATCCCAATCGCAATTAAATATTGACACATACCCTTTTTTTTTTTTGGATAAGTACACACAACTCCAATTACAGTAAGGCTAAAACTCTAAAATCCTAAAAGTGTATGAAATTTTTTGTTTTTTCATTTATTCACAGTACTTGCTAAGTATCTTTGTATTTTCTTTATCTTCTTTGTCTCCCTTTGTTGCTTTGCAATTTGCTAACTCGCAATTCACCAAATTAGGATCACACAACACAGATTTGAGACCACACTACAACCTTGGTATCTTCTCTTCATTATTTACAAGTAACTTTATTTATTTGTTTTTTACTTTTAAATAAAAATTATGAGTATTAATTTATAGTTATTTGTTAAGTTTTGATTTGTAAAAGTTTTTGATTTATTATTATTTATGTTAAAATAAGAGATTTTGATATGCTAAAATTATGAATCTTAATTGGTGGTGATTTATACTAAAATTAGGAATTTTGGTTTGTTGTTATTTGTGCTAAAATTAGGGATTTGATTTGTGCTAAAATTAAAAAATTTGATTTGCAATGATTAATATTTAAATTAGGGATTTTGATTTGTTATAATTTATGCTAAAATTAGAAATTTTGATTTGTTGTGATTTGTGCTAATTTAAATTTTTTTGATTTGGGTTAAAATTGGAGCTTTTGATTTGTGGGGGTTTGTGATTTTGATTATGAATTTTTATTTTGATTTTTAGCTTTTTCAAACAATCATGGAGAAATATGTCAAAAGAAAATCAAAGTTGGAACCATCTCTTCCTCAAGAAGAAGATGATCATTATTCTTCCACAAAACAAAGTCGCATAGAAATCAACTTAGTAGACCTTCCTGCAGATCCAGGACTACAGGCTTGGATTATGGACTATAATGCTAACGGTCGAGACCAAATTCGTAGGGCATATCTACAAAAAGGTCCTTGTCAACCTCGTGATCATAATTTTCCACAAAAATCATTTGGACAAAAACTTCGGCAATTTAATCAGGCTTGGTTTAGTGAATTTCCTAATTGGTTGGAGTATAGCGTAACAAAAGATGCAACATTTTGTTTATGTTGTTATCTTTTCAAACCCGATATTGGAGATCAAGCTGGTGGTGATTCTTTTGTTGGTGAGGGTTTCTCAAACTGGAAGAAAAAAGAAAAAATTCAGACTCATGTTGAAGGTCCTAATAGTGCTCATAATCAAGTTTCGAGTAAATGTCAAGACTTGTTAAACCAAAACCAAAACCAACATATTCAAACCATTTTTTTCAAACAATTTGATCAAGCTCGAATTGAGTATCGAACTTGTTTGAATTCATCGGTTGATTGTGTCAAATTTCTTCTAAGACAAGGACTTGCGCTTCGTGGGCATGATGGATCTAAACATTCAAGTAACCAAGGAAATTTTCTTAAACTTCTTAAGTTTCTTGCTGATCATAATAAAGATGTCAAAGTGGTTGCATTAAGCAATGCTCCACAAAATCTCAAGTTGACATGTCCTGATATTCAAAAAGACATTGTAAATGTGGCTGCATTTGAAACTATCAATGTGATTATTAGAGATCTTGGTGATGCACTTTTTTCTATTTTGATTGATGAAGCCCGTGACATATCAATCAAGGAGCAAATGGCAGTTGTAATACGATATGTTGACAAAAAAGGCCAAGTGATTGAGCACTTTTTGGGTATTGAGCATGTTGCTAATACAAATGCTCTCTCACTCAAACAAGCTGTGGAAAATTTATTCTCCGGACTTGGATTGAGTATTTCCAGATTGCGGGGTCAAGGATATGATGGGGCTAGTAATATGCAAGGTGAGTTCAATGGTCTTAAAACACTTATACTGAAAGAGAATCCTTGGGCATATTATGTTCACTGTTTTGCTCATCAATTACAATTGGCCCTTATAGCCATGGCAAAGAATCATAATCAAATTGCTTTACTTTTCACTTTGGTTTCTAATGTGGCGAATGTTGTTGGAGCATCATGTAAACGTCGAGATATTTTTAGGGAGAAGTAAGCTGCAAAAGTTGCTGAGGCACTTAATACTAGAGAGCTATCTAGTGGGCAATACTTAAATCAAGAAACTAATCTTAAACGTGGTGGTGATACGCATTAGGGTTCACACTATGGTACTTTAGTCAACTTGGCTAGTATGTTTTCAATAGTGATTGATGTGCTTGAAATGATTTTGGAGGATGGTTCAAATTCAGAACAACGAGCAGAAGCAAATGTATTGTTGGACTCAATTCAAAACGATATTGGCTATTACAAGTAAGTTATCGTAAGCACTACAAAGGAAAGATTAAGATATTGTTAATGCCATGAATTTAGTTCAAATTTCTAAAGTACGGTTCCAAAAGATGAGGGAGAGTGCGTGGACATCTTTACTTGATGATATTTTTGTCTTTTTGTGAAAAGCAAGAAATTGATGTTCCCCAAATGGAAGATGTGTTTGTAGCTTGAGGGAGACAAAGGTGCAATACTCAAGAAATTACAAACTTACATCACTATCGCGCTGAGTTATTCTACACTGTTTTAGATATGCAAATTGAAGAACTAAATGCTCATTTCACTGAGTCGAACACTGAGTTGTTACTTTGTGTGACATGTATGAATCCATCTAACTCTTTCTCAAGTTTTGACAAGAAAAAGTTAATTCATCGTACTGAATTTTATCCCAAAAAATTTTCTTCAATGAAGCTCATAATACTTAATGATCAACTTGACACATCTATTATCGACATGTTATCCAGTAGTGAGTTCTCAATGTTGAATGGAATTGCCGATCTTGGTAAGAAAAAGGTGGAGACTAGAAGAGACAAAGTATATCCATTGGTGTATTTTCTCCTGACTTTGGCCCTGTTTGGTACAGCTTAATTTCAGCTTATTTCAGCTTTCAGCTTAATTTAAGCTATTTTGATGTGTTTGGTTTAGCTTATAGCTTATAGCTTATAGCTTTGTGGAAGTCAGAAAATAGCTTATTCTTTAATTGGGGCAGGAGATGCTTTAAGAATAAGCTGGAAATCAGCTTAAGCTGAAAGTTATAAGCTATAAGCTGTTTAGCCATAAGCTATAAGCACTTTCCCACAGCTCTACCAAACAGGGCCTTTAACATTAATCTTACCTGTTACAACTGCTACTGTTGAGAGGGTATTTTCAGCTATGAATATTGTGAAGAATCAATTGCAGAACTGAATAGGTGATGAATGGATGAATGATAGCTTAGTTGTCTACATTGAGAGATATATTTTTGACAGCATTGACAATGATACTATTATGGAAAGATTTCAAAAGATGAAAACTCATCAGGGTCAATTATAAAAATTTAAAATTAAAAACTATTTGTAATGAATATTAATTTTTAATGTTTAACATTAGCTCGAAAAATTATTATTATGTTACTGTTATTGATTGGGGAAGAAAAATTTTGAGATTATAATTAATAGGTGCCCCTATATTAAATTCCCGACTCCGTCACTTATTATCTTCATGTTGATGATGATCCAAGTGTTATGACATTTTTTATTGGTACGTCTTTGTGGATTCATATTTTAATGATATCCTAACTTATTTTGTTACTCTAGAACAACGATCTAGAACAAGAAGTACAACATTTTTAGGAGATTCTTACAATTTTACAAAAAGAGAAATATTTTGAAAATATCAAGGGAAATGTTATGGTATACACCTCTCAAAATATGTGTATCATATACACTTTATTATGTAATTTTGTGATTTATGTTGTGTATTTTTATAGTATTTTTACGTAATTTTTAGTAAAATTTTGATAAGTTTTTGTTCAAAAATGATGTTACGCATTTTGTGATAATGTTATGAATTTTTTTTTAATTATGTTACGTATTTGTTTATCTAAATATTTTTTAACTAAAAAATGTAAAACATTACCCTAAAATGCATAATTTCATTTCTAAACTCCAAATTGTTATAACTCTACTAAAAAATATCTATATGTAAAACAAAGTATTATATTACAGCGGGAAAAAATAATTCGGATCATACCTCAATGACACAAGCTCATGGGTAAATCACGTGCTTCCAAAATCTGATCAGTTAACGAACCCAGCAGTGGAATGATACTACAAAATGAGTATCACCCACACAAGTCACAGTGCAAATTGGCTTGATCGTTGTTTTCTGGGAGAGAGTCAGAGAGAGAGTCTGGGGAAAAAGGTTATGGGTAAAAACCGCATAACGTATATCTAATATACGTATATCTTTAGATTAACCATATAATCTGAAATATAACCAATATCTATCTATCCATCTATCCATATCTATTGATATGATAGATATAGATATCCTGAATGGTTATCCAAATAAGTTTTGAATTCAAATTCAAACTTACATGGATAAGGTTCAAAAGGTTCAGGTTCAAAAGGTTCTAAGGGTCATGCCACATGGGCACCCAATTTCTAACATCTTCCACTCGGACATGAGTTGGCATGACACTGCCACATCTCTATCTCAATCTCCCCAAAAAAATAAACAATCTCATACTAGCCACTGCACCGTGCGACTGTTGAGAACACCTGCATGTGGGAGCTCTATACTAGAAACTCAAAATGAGTCAGCATAGAGACATTAACCCAAAAAGAATAGAAATAGTGTCTCACATACCCCAGACTCATCTAATTACACCGGTCCAAAAAACATCTCTAATCCCTCAAAAAGAGCATGTTTGACCCTCTCAATTCTTGCAATATATTCACACTCAATTCGCCTCTCATATAGAGCGATGTGAGTTACCGGCAGTGAATATACAACAGTGGTGTAATACTAGATGATCTTCCCTTTGTCCTCATGCCATTTAGTTTAGGATTGACCGCTTTCCCAGTGATGTCCCTTAAGGCCGAATCATACATGATCGCAGGCAACATACCAAAGTAACAGAACATCAACCCCTTACCTTTTGAAAGGGTACATAAATGAAAGTCATTTCAATAATGACACGTACGACTCACACGGTGAGGAAATAGGGATTCATTCTCTCACCTCATTACTCAGTCGCCAAGCACATATAGTATGAATACATGCTACGGTGGAGTAACTCTTCCATAAAGAGTGACGTCATACTCGATACACCGTACAGATATTAGTCTAGTCGCTTTCTAGCGCCTAATCCGAATTCCCTATTTGTTCGCCTTCCAGGCGCCAAATGAGATCTCGCATCTGGCTAATCATAACAGGCACAACATGGAAAGTGGGTACTAACATCCATGTTTGGTCCTTAACACGACCTCATCTTGGTTGTAACCAAGGCAGCATGCATAGTGGATTATTTAAGCCTCTCTTGGCTCCAAATAAAAATAAACCACTAGTCTTATCCTTGCTCGCTCCCAAGTGCCAAGGGCGATTGCTCGTGTGAGTGAGCCAATCTTGCCTGCTGACATCATCATCTACTAATCAGTATGACACAAACCATAATAGTGTCAACATCCCATCATCTAGAAAATTCTGGGTTGGAGGACTAGGGCTGCACGTACGGGAGAGGGGCCGCATGTGCGGGAGGTAAGGCCGTACATGCGGAATATAGGGGAAGACCTAGGAGCATATTGAAATAAAAGCACGTGAAGCAGCAGGTGCGGGGAGGAGAGGGCCGCACATGTGGGAGGCACTCTCTGCACATGCAGGAATGGGCACCGCATGTGTGGGAGACGCTTAGTCTGAACTTCTACTTTTCTTCTATCCTTAGGCTGAGTGTATATCATTTTATACACCTCTCTCTCTCTATCTAAAAAACCCTTTTCTCCTTCTTCTCTCTACATTTCTTACTAAAAACCTTACAAGATCCTTGATCTCCCTAAATCCATTGGCATCTTAACCCAAGTTCCTTCATCAAAGTTGGATAACTTCTAGAGGGCTTCATTGTGTGCTGTGGAGATCACGTTTCAACATCGTCAAATTTGGGGTTTCTCATCTTTCTTTCTCTAAGACTTAAGGTAAGGATTATTCTTCGAGTTATATATTGTGGGGATATGGTTTTTGGAAATACTCTTTTGATCCTGGGGACGCTCGTGATCCACCGCTAGGCACCTGAAAGGAAGTAAACACTCCGATCGGGGGTGCCGGAATTAGCACTCTGACAGACAAGTCAGTCTCTCGTTCTAGATTACTTGTATTCTAAGTTGAACACCACAATTATCATATACCTCTTTCTGGTTGATGTCTCTTCTATTTATATCTTTTCTTCTTTGGGCCTCGGGATTAGTTCCAAATCCAACCTCCTATTCAGTATATTTTGTAATAAACCGATCATCACTCGGCCCCTTACTTAATTGGCTATCTAGCCGAATAAGGTTGGGTCTGAGTTTCTGTGGCAATGGCCGAATGTTTTGAATCTTGATTCTTCAATGTTCAACTCTCCGAAATCTCTACGACTCCCAATATTCGGCCCCCACAATTGCCCCCCAAGCACTCCACTAGCGGCAGTTGGATGGAGTGTTTGGCTTTGAACTCAAAGAGTCAGAGCCAAAATTCGGCGGCTGGTCGTATTCCAACACGAATGTCTGTCCACACGCTTCTCAGTTATCATTTCAACTTCTCGCCTCTTCGTACACTCATTTATTGTGATTTAAAATTTCGACGTCTTTTTAAATAGATACACGCTTTTAGATGCCTGTCGCTGGATTGCCTTCCGAACTACCTCTGCGACCCTCTACTCTTTTCCTCCTTCGCCACTTGTAAGTTCTCTCCTTCTTTGCTTTGTTTTTTCGCTTAGCATAATCATATTGGCTGGGGAGAATGGCGAAACATTTAAAAGATCTCCTCTCACCGAATCGAATTTCTGGCTTCCGACGCCATTTTTCCATCCCTGATGACGTCCGTCTGTCTTTTGTGGCAGACGACACCCTTGATATGGCGAGGGTTGATGAAACCACAATTGTCTTCCCTTTTCTATCAATCACAGAGGGCGGGGTCCGTTTCGCCCTTCACCCACTCCTTAGGGTCGTGCTTTGCCATTGGGAGCTAATCCCTTCGCAGCCCAACGTCAATTTC